TTGAGTCCTATAATGATTTCTTGAATTGAGTAATAATCCTAGGGTAATATTTTCCCTTTGCTTCCCTAAACAACTTTACAAGGGACTACACCTGATGAATTTCTTAATGAACCTTTTTATTCAAAGAGATAACATCTGCTCACTTTGTATGCATGAACCGTCTTAAAATTTACCTATGTGGTGTCAAGTTCAACATAAAGCAGCCCAGTGCTACGATCCTTCTCGAGTCTTTCTTTTTCTCTCTGGCATATGTGACTCATATGATTTGAACAATCACTTCACTCCTCCGTGAGTATTATCAGGAAGTATTTTCACTGCCTGGTAACATGAGAGCCTATCTCAGCTCCTATCACAAATGTGCATGTCAATTGAAGGGGTCATTTGTCTGTATAAAGTTTTTGAGAAATTTGAGGTTTTCATAAATCTGCCACAGGAAGATCTTTTGTTTACCCATTGTAGTATGACTTTCGTACCCACTTAGATCATTTCGTAGAAAGTAGATCACTTGGTTCCTAGCATCATAGTTGCCCATGAAGTGGCCTGGTATTGCAGCCTGAGAGTTATTATAGCAGAAACATGTCAACCTCATAGAAAATTGTTCATTCCCTCTCTAACCAGCACATGATTTAATCGATATTTAGATGTTCTGTCTATGTTGTTTCACTTGTGAAAGGGTTTAGATTTAAATGTTTCTGGTTTTGGCACATATCACGAACATTTTGATTTGGAAGACAAGTTGTCGTATCCTTAGTTCTCTCATGTAGGATCAACTATTGGGAAGGGTTAGGCTGTTGGAATTATGATAATCTCGTAAGTGTTCAACTTCTTTTTCGTCCTCACGGGCTCGTGGTATAGATTCCTTGTGTCTGTTTGATAGAATATATGGATCCACCAACTTCTATAGAGAACTAGGTTCTCTATCAGGTTCGACAGTACACACATACAGAACAGAAGTTAAATGGCAGGAGGAATTTTACGTGGAAAATTTCCAGCTCAACGGGATTTAAAACCACGACCTACCCTTGCAGGATTTCAACTTCACTACTGAGCAACTTTCAGATTACAACCTCTACAACCTAGGAATTAAAATCTTAATCCCTCACTAACTTGTAACACACCTATTACAAGCCACTTTGAAATAACTATATTACAAAAACTTTAAAACTTGACTAACTCTAGCCAGACTTAAACACGCAAGTTTAAGGTTTACAAAGATGTTCCTATAAAGTGATTCTAAATAAGATAGATAGGAATTACTATTTGAAGAACTATCATAAAGTTACAACTCAACTAAGGACACACAATAACTCAATGTGGGAACTAGTCCGTAGTTGCTTTGTTCTTTTTCTTGAGGCACTTGAAACTTGCTAGCTGAATGGTCACGTGAGTGAGCTTGCATAAAATCTCTAGGTGTTCAAGTGTCTTTGTTTTACCTCCCTTGAATGCATATATACATGTGTGACATCACTTATAATGATGCAAGCAAGGTAGGTAAAAAGTCTTCGTGTGCAGGCAGCAACTTTCCAACCAGAAAGTTGACTTCGTGCAGTCTCCTAGGGAACTGGTAGGGGCCTGGTCCCTCAGCTGTTCCTTCCATTTTGAGGAGTTGAATCATATTTCTACGTTGAGTCCCAACCTGGAACCTTGTGATCTTGAGGTCTTATAAATGTGTAACAGGTTTTCTATCTGGTTCTGGGTAGTAAGTTTGTTAGATCATCAAAACATAGTATAAAAGTACTTATAACCAAAATACTTGTAACCTATGAATTTCCCCTTCTTGATGATTACAAACTTATAATTGAAAATCCTAGAAAGAGCCACAAAGGACCAGATGTGAACCAGAAGCACCTTAAGTTTCCCCTGAAACTCTGCATTCCCCCTTAGTCGGTACCTGATCTTTTGTGAGTTCCCCCTGAATGAGTTTCCCCTGAATTTGTATTTTGTTTCCAGATTATTATTCATTCATGCTTTCATACTGTTTTATTATTCAATAAAAATCTTTCCCCTTTTGGCATCATAAAAAGCACAGAATAGGTTAGCAGCATAAAGAAGTCTAGCACAGCTCACTCATGCCACTTATGTGCTCACAACATGATAGAAGACAGAAGCAGAAGAGCAGCATCATAGATAGCAAAAAGGAAATCACCTTCATTAACCAGAATTGGACTTTTACAGGTGGGAGCAAAATTATTATTTTCATCCATAGTCTTCAACAAACAAAAAACAGTTACCAAAAATAACAAAACATCACCAAAAAATAACATAAGAAGATAGACACTGGAAACTGGACACTAAGGGGACATTCTTTAAGGGACACTGGATGAAAGGGGATTGGAAGAGGAAGAAAGAGTTTGGAGGACAAGATCCATGCGAGCATTCGCGTACATTTGCTCATTGAGCAGTCTTTATTTCGGGTCCTCCACCTGTTTCCTTAATTCAGCATTCTCCTTTGTTAGGCATGTAACCTCTGCGCTGTGAGAACCACTAGAACCAGGTACCTCTTACAACTAACTGAGCTGACTCTCAAAAATCGCATTCCTAGCCTTCAACTTCTGAATCTCCTCTGTGGCACTATTCTGAACATTTAGCAGTTGAGAGATTATGGAAGTGCTTCCAACTCCTCTGACTTTGTCAATACACTCACACTCCTACTGAGTAGTTTTTGAAAATGATTGCTTTTTGGTGCCCACTTTGGCCTGTCCCAGAGGTACTTTTAAAAACTCAAAGACCTTTGTGAGAAGGAACCCATAAGGCAGTCCAGGATTCCCATCTTTAAGGTTCTCTACCTTCAGCATATGCTCAATCATTATGGCAGGAAAATTGATGGAGAAGAAGTTATCCAAGGTTTCCATAAGGAATAGATCGGCTTTGGATGCAACAGATCTTCTTTTAGCGCGGAAAGCAATACTTTGTTAACCATCTCAAATAGCAGTTAATAAACTGGACGGAGTGCCTTTTTAATGCTCATGTTCTCCATGATGTTCTGCCTTGTCCTTTAAATGGCATTTCTGAAGTTTGGTGTGTAGGAACCCTAAACAGATGACACCAGTGTTTTTAGGGGTGTTTATAGGGCGAGTCCCGGGGCGCGAATCGGGGCGGGGCGCACATAAAACGCATCTGGGCGTTAGTGAGAAGCGCAGATCTTTTGGGCGCATGCCCCAAGAGATTAGGCGCACGCTTAGGCGCAAGACTCGCCTTAGAACCAAGACCCACGCATGATGGAACTTAACCAATTGAAGGATAATTTTGACAATTGCCCTTATATTTTTAAACCCTTTTTCGTTTTACCCCAAATCTGTCCCCACCCTATTATAAAAAATCCCTAACCTTGTTCGACAGTGAAGAATCGTCCACACTCCATAGTCATACTCCATATATGATAGAACCTTGAGCTTTCTCCTCAACTGCTGGAGCTTTTTACTTCACTAATCACTCTAACTCCGAAAATTATAACAGGTGTCTTTTGCTACTTTTGGTTTTTGTTTCTTGTTGTTGCTATATTTTAAAACTTTCTGCATTTTGTATGTTTATTGTGTGATTATCAACATGCACTTGTAGTTTCTGACTTTCTTCTTGAAAAATAGTAACGAACTGTTAAGGAAAGGACAAAGAAACTATTGTCAAGCTTAATTTGTTTCCCTTTTAACTAATGCGTATGTTTATTTCTACATTTTACAGAATCTTCAACCTAATATGGACTCTTGTATAAAAGATCAGTCCTATTTAGTCAATATATCTTATATAAAGATTGATTTGCCTCACCAGAAGAAGCTATATGCAAATACTAAAACCAACGAGTTAAAATTATTTTTTCCCTTTCTTTAGAAGTAATAAATTTAAGTGATTGATGGATAATTAAAAAATATAGATTATAGAGTAGTAAGTGATTAACTATAACTCTTTCATTACTAAACTTGCAAGTAACTATAAACTTTATATTGGCAGGTCATTGTTGACAAATGATGAAGTGGGAAATACAGTGAGCAAAAAAGATTTTGCTTGGAAATATACAATCGTGAATCCAGATGAAAACTTCTTTCGATGCAAGTTTTGTAATCAACGATGTAGTGGCACCATCAACAGACTAAAGCAACACTTATCAGGCACCCATAAAGGAATAAAGCCTTGTCCTACAGTGCCAGATGAAGTGGCCGATGAATGCAAGAAAGCATTACTAAAGCTTCAAAAAGTTAAAACCTTGCGGAATGCTACTTTGGAAGAAATGCGAGTCGTTGCATCTGGAAGTGATATGGGCAATGAATCTGGTACTTCTCCAAGTATGCCGAATTCACATCCAAAGGCAAGAGGTCCAATTGATGATTATGTTAGTGCACAAACAAGGCAAGCTACTTTAAACTCCAAATGGAAAAAAGAAGAGAGGAAAGAAGTTTCAGCGAATCGGTAGGTTTTTCTTTTCAAGTGGTATACCTTTTAATGTTGCAAATGACCCATATTATTTACCAATGTTTGAAGGAGTTGCAAATTATGGACCGGGTTTTGTGCCTCCCTCCATACATGAATTGAGAACTTGGATATTAAAAGATGAGGTTACAAACATTAATAAGATGTTAGATGAACATAAGAAATCTTGGAAGCAATATGGTTGTTCAATTATGTTTGATAGTTGGACAGATGGAAAAAGTAGATGTTTTATTAACTTTTTGATTAATAGTCCAGCCGGTACTTTCTTTTTGAGATCTTTTAATGCCTTTGACTCTATTAAAAGTGGTGAAATACTTGCATTGCATTTAAATAAAATTATCGATGAAGTTGGAGAAGAAAATGTTGTTCAAATAATTACTGATAATGGTTCTAATTTTGTGAATGCTGGAGAAAGAATAATAAAAACTTGATCTCATGTTTATTGGACTCCATGTGCTGCACATTGCATTGATCTCTTGTTAGAAGATATAGGAAAGTTAACACTTCATCAAGAAACACTTAAAAGGGCAAAAGAAGCGGTGAGATTTATTTATGGGCATACTTGGGTATTAGATTTGATGAGGTCATTTACAAATAATCATGAGTTACTGCGTCCTGCTGTCACTCGCTTTGCTACAGCATATCTCACGCTTCAAAGCATTCAAAAGCAAAAACAAGCCCTTAGATCTATGTTTTCTTCTGAAACTTGGAATAAATCTACTTGGGCTAAGAAACACGAGGGGGTGAAAACAAGAGCCGCAATTTTGTTTGATCAAAACTTCTGGCCTTATATTGCTTATTGTGTGAAGAGTGTTACTCCTTTAGTGAGTGTTTTGAGGGAAGTAGATTCAGAGGAAAAACCATGCATGGGATATATGTATGATTTGATGAACAGAGCTAAGGAAAAGATAGCTATAAATTGTGGATCCAACCAAAAAAAGTATGGTCCCATTTGGAAGAGAATTGATGATAGATGGAATAACCAACTTCATCGTCCACTTCATGCTGCTGGATACTATTTGAATCCTCGGTTGCGATTTGATGAAAGGTTTTCTAATAATTATGAAATCAAACAAGGTTTGTTCCAATGCATGGAAAGAATGTTGGGTTATGAAGTGAGATTTAAAGTGGATGTTCAGTTAGATTCATATGACCACTTGAGAGGGGATTTTGGAAGTCAGTTAGCTATGGATTCTAAGAAAGTACGATCTCCGACAGATTGGTGGATATGTTTTGGAGGTAGAACTCCAGAGTTGACAAAATTTGCGATTCGTGTCTTGAGTCTCACATGTAGCTCCTCGGGTTGTGAAAGAAATTGGAGTACCTTCGAGTCGGTAAGAGTTATGCTTTTCTAGAACTTCTACTATTGTATTTTTGTTTTTATAATAGCTTATTTTTGGTTTTTAATATTTGCTAGATTCATACCAAGAAGCGAAATAGACTTGAGCATCATAGATTAAATGCTCTAGTTTATGTCAGATACAATACTAGATTAAGAGAAAGGAGCATCAAAAGAAAAATGCAAAATGTCGATCCGATTCTAGTTGATGAAATTGATTCTGATGATGAATGGATAACTGAAAAAGAAGATCTCGTGCTTCCTGAAGATCCTTCTTGGCTTGATGAAGAGAATTTATTTGATATTGATGTCATTAGAATGGTGCAACCTACTGCATATGAAAATAACCTTACACATGAATCTATCATTGATGTTGGTAGTTTAAGAGGTACAAGTGAATTAAGTCCATCGAACAAAAAACAGAAGGCTTCAGGTGAGTGTGTAGTGTACTACTATCTACTAGTACTTTATGAAGTTATGTTAAACACTTACATTTTTTTGCCTTTTTCCTTTAGATCTACACAAAGAAAAATCAGTGCTACTTGAGAGTGAGGAAGGATTAGAAGAAGTGGAGATTAATGATGAAATGGACGGCGACCTCATTTTTTATAGCGATTGATTAGACTTTGACTGTTGAGACTTTTTGACAAAACTGCTCTAATCCGAGGCAAGTGGATTTAAACTTTGAAGCTAGACAATGTTAGCTCTCATAAAACTCTTTATTTTCTTAATATGAAATATATTTTGCAGGCATGTATATGGAGGAGCAACAACTTTTGTGACTTCAATCAAAGAGGGTTATGAAGTCTTGCTGAGTATTTAGAGATGCACTTTGCACATAGAAATATAATTACAAAGCTACTGTTGAGACTTGAGAGATGATATAGTTTTTGTGCATTTCTGCTTTTTGTGGAAGATGAGTGCCATTTGTGCTCTTAACAATGATACCAATGTATCTCTGACCAAATTCTTTTGTTTGCACTAAATATTCTTTACTGTTAAACTACTAGACAGTTAACCTCTCTCATATTTTTAAATATATATTCTAAAGGCATCTATAATGTTTGTCTTTATAGTTCAAACTTCAGATCATTGCCATGAACTAGTTTGATTTTATTTCATTTTTTTCTGACAAATGATCGACGCCTTTTGCTTATCTTGTTTGGAATATGAATTGTTATTTGGGTTAGAACATTATTGACTTATTGTTAATATGTATCTCATTTTTTTAGTATATTTTTTATTGTTAGTTCATTTAATTATAAATAATTCTTTATTTTTTTGGTTTGTATGAATTTTCTAAAAGAATTATGTAATTTTTAGATTTAAAAATAATTTTAAGTTTATTTTATTAATTATAAATTAAAGATCCATGGGACTTACGCCCCATGTTTCGGGGCTTACGCCTCGCCCCGTGTTAGGTAAAACGCCTCGCCTCATGCCCCCGCCTTTTAAAACATTGGATGACACTCCTTCGGTAGGAGCACCCAGAATTGACCCCAATAGGGCAAAATCCATCACTATGTCCGCCCTATTTACTAACACATAGATTTGATCACCATCTACTATGAAGAGGCTGGTGTAGAAACTCCGCACCTCATCCTTATACACTATAGGAGCCTCACTTGTAAACAAATTGGTCCACTGTTGAGAATCACAAATATTCACTAATTGTCTCATCCCAGCACTCTCTAGAATGTCAGAGGCAAATGTGCGGCCCCACAACACTTTCTGATTCCCCAACTTCCTTTTCTTAAACCTCAGAGTTCCACTCATTTTTCCTTTCTTGACAGAACCAGGTTACTCATCATCATCACACCTCTTTCTTTTCACTGACTTGCCAATAGACTTTTCCTTCTCCACTGACTTGTTCTATCTATGTTCACAAGATTTTTCCACTTCTTCCTCATCAGACTTGTCACCATGCTCCTTCACTATCTTACCACGCCCTTCACTGTCTTGTCACTGGAATTTTTTACCAACTTTTCACTGGAACCAGCAACAACACTCTTGGATGAACTCTCAGCACCCTTAGAGGTGTGCCTCTTGGATTGAGAGAGAGAGTGCTTCTTCCTTAAAGTCTTGCGGGTCAGGGAGCTAGGTTCCTCTTTGGTTTCCTCATCCACATCCACTACAGGAACATCCTTTGCTTGTACAACTTTTCCATCTTTGACAAACCTTCTCCTTCCTCGACTCCTTTTACTCTTCTTGAGGGCAAACTCTAGAACCTCCTTTTGCTGCAACTGTGTAGTAGGTTGCTTAGGATGTGGCTCTGAAGTTACCGCTGGCTTAGTCCTAGCCCTGATAAAACTAGCATAAACCAAATCATTTGCGTCTTCTACATTGTCAAGATTCGTCTCAGGCACCACCATATTCAAAGGCTCAGCATTGAAGTGGGGAGAGGGAGCAGGATCAATACTGACCTGGGGAGATGACTCCTGACCTGGATCCTCCATTGAGGGATCAGGTTCATCATTTGGGACCCCAGTAGCATCATCTTGTGCATGTTGTTCAAATGGAACAATTGCTCCCTCTTCTTCTATCTTTTCCCCCCTGAGGCTCAGACCCTCCTGCACATTCCTTTGTAATGACCCCTTCTGACACAATGGAAAACGTATTCTCTATTCCCTCATTTTCTTGTGGTTCCATGGCGATTTCAATAGACGAAGGAGTGATACCTATAGAGTCACAACTTGTCATGGTGATCTCAGTCTCTTCATGACTAATCACTAGATTTTCACTCAAGTGCTCATCCATGGATAGAGTTGAAGGTTCCTGAATGAGATTCCCTTATTTACCCTGTTAACTCTATTTGACTGGTGAGACTGGAAGAGGACAAACATTCTCAGACTTGCTCGGATGAAGAGTGGACTCAGAGTGGGTAGAAGAGGGAGTAGAGTGTGAATGAGACTCTTTTTTACGGTTTGGACTAGTGACTGTGTTGGGAGAGAGGTTCACCGCTGAACTACTGACTGGTGAGGTCTCAATCACAGTATTGTCAAGCATATTGAGGGTTGCTTGATTTTCAGACATGATGAGATTATTCTCGAAGGACTGTGGATTTGAGAAGAGAGAAGACAAATAGGGAATTTGAGTTTGGAAGATAAAAGGTTGTGATGTTGATTTAATTATGATGAGGGACCCGTTCTGAAACGGTGGTGCCCTTTTTCTTGGGAGATGTATCGTTTAGAAAAGGAGTGATGTTTGGGTTGTGACGTATTGGCTAAAGAGACACGACTTTAAAGAGACTATCATGCTGATGATAATGTGGCATTGTTTTTTGTTCATTTTAAATTGTGTATGAAAGAACAAAGAATCTACAAACCTGCGTTAACTAGGTTCCCTGATAGGTCTGGCAAGTGAGTTTTATCCCCTTATTCATCATGCACTGCAGCATCTGCTTCTGTAGTCGCCATACTTATCTACCTATAACGGTATATAGGTGAGTTAGACTTAGCCAGAAAATATTTTAGCTAGCTTTTACCTAACTATGACTTTCATAACCAATAATGAGGAACCAAGTTCTCTGTTAGGTATTATCATCCCCCAGTGCAAGGCAATCTTTCTCAAAATGCTTTTTTCCTAGGGCTTTTGGTGAAGATGTCTGCAACTTTATCTTCAACAGTCACTGTATTTGGCCCTCTTGAGTTGGACTTAAGTTCTTCTAATTTGTTGCTTGGTCCACAACAGGATGCTGATTATACATATTCTGCTTTAGCTATTGAGAGTGTCATTGAATTCTGCTTCCTTGAGCCTCATGAGACAAGATAGGAACTCAGAGAATGTCCCAATTCAGGTGAGCTTTTCCTATCCATTACTTGGAGGACAGTAGAGAACTAGGTTCTATGTTATTCTAGGATATCTCAAAATACTTACACCACCCTTCAGATGAGAATCATTTGGACTTGACTGAGACCTTGCACAAAACCCAACTCTGACCACGATGTCTAGTCCAGTTGCAGTGAGATACATGAGTGATTCAGTGATGTCTCTATGCAAAAGCCTTTTTCTAATAGCTTGTTTTTTAGCTTTTGTTTTTGTAGATGCGGGACCTGGTTCCTTACTGGAATCAATGGGCATTCTCTACCTTGATCGGTATTTCTGTTCTCTTTTAAGATGAGTATGTCAGGAGGATTCGTCCATCTCTTCTATCATCAGAATTTCAAGGCTGTCTCTTCCCATTGTTTAGAACATAACAGTTATACCATATATCCTCAATTGAGTCAGCAGCTTTGGTCAAGATGTTTGCAAACCCTTCATCAACTAATATTGACCGTGCCTAATTTTTTCAAGAGTCCTTTTCTTCTTTTCAACAACTCCATTTGAGGTGGTGTTCTTTAAGCTAAGTGGTTGAGTAGTTCTTTTTTGAGTATAGCGTTCATCCACTTATGGAATTATCCAAACATGTTCCATGACTTTATCTGATGCAAGCCATGTTTGTTTCTATCGGTACGTGAATCTTCTTTGACAAAAGCCATAGTTTCTTGAAAGATCTCATCATTGGTTCTGAAGTATTGTCTGCCCCTTTTTGGGCTTGAATGAAGATCTAACATGCTTTCCTTTTGCATATGCATTGCACACTTCATGTTTCTTGTTACTCAACTTGATCAGACCACGAACCAGGTTTTTAGATCCAGTTTGTTTAGAGATAGACAACGTGCAATGCTCCAGACTTTTGTCCCATGGTTTAGTATTGTCTTGAACAGCTTCCAACAAACTTATGTCTCACTCTGTAGAAGCTCAATCACAGCAACATACGTACTCTTGGGTCTTTTGGCTACAATATCACCTTACCAGTCATAGGATTTGAGATTGTGCATATCCTGGACAAGCATTCCACCTTATTTCCTTTGACACAAATTTTCCAACTCCTAGAGCGTACCCCCTTTTTTGCCATACACTCTTTCCTTGTAGGGCTCTCTAGTGAAGGAAAATTGATTGTATTTCCAGTCCTGTCCTTTGAGCAGCCACTGTTCATGTGTCATTATTGGCTGCTTCCCTTCACTGCTCCCTGCACAGGGAAATCAAGGGTTAGATTTAGGATCCTAAACAAGTTTGGGTCCCTTGTTAAGAGAAAAGGGATGAATGAGTGCTCTCTTAGTCCAAGCAGGAAAAATGCATTTCTTATTTGATGGTTTCCTATTTGACAGACTAGGTCCTCTTGTAGTAGTTGCTCTCTCAGCAAAGACTTTATTTCTATGATGAGACTGAACCCTGGACATGCAATTCTTTGAGGTGCCATTGTTGCCACAATGGGTACAAAGCAATTGTCAGGTACAGTAACATACTTGCTATGAGGGTTGTAGGGAATATTTTCCCTTTGAAACCCAATCCCCTGCCTGTATCCCCCAGAGTTGGTGTACATGGCAGTGATAGCATCCGAGGACCAGGTCCACTTAATGATTTCTCAAGATCACTCTTAACTTTCCCTAGTTCTTCTTGAAGCAGTTTGTTTTTCACAAGTTCAGCACATAGACTAGTCTTTATCAAGTTTAACTCATTTTCAAGCTTAATGTGTTCTTCACTTGAAACTCCCTTTCCCTTTTCAGAGTTTCCAAGCCTATTTACTATTTTAAATTTCTCAATTGTTTCTTTCAAGTATACTACCACCACTACTAG